TCGTTTCGTCCGGGCGTTGTAGGGATGCAAGGTTTATGGTTTAAGGATTAGGACATGCATTTGCATGAGTCCCCCCCCCCCCCACCTCCCTGTCTGCTTGCTTCCTTGGGGGTTGGGAAGGAGTCCCCATCGAAAAGGGTGCTTCGTGAATGGAAAGCCAAACCTTGTAGGCAATAACCATCAGAAACATTTCTTTTCCTTCCGGGCCGTTGAACCCCTGCGTGCGAGTATGCCAGCCCACCCAATCCGAAAGCTTGTAGATAGCACGTTTCGCTTCGATGATAATTAGCGTGGGTTGCTCGTTCCATGCTATTTACCGCTCACTGAAGCAGACGTTCTTTTGTCTTGGGAGGGAGGCACGATAAACCAACGCCCCCCCCTCCTTTTTCTCGCCCCGATGAAAATTCTCGTGATATGTCGCTGCGGTTTCTGGCAGGACGGGAACATGACCGGCTTTGTGGGAGAGTGCTTCCACGTGTTCAACAAGCACGCCTCTTCTTCGGCAGTGAAACCCTACTTTGAAACGGACGAGGTCAGTCACGAGGCTCTTTTTTGTTGCCGTGGTTTGGTTGTGCCGGTCGGTCTCCCTCCGGACGTACGTTAGTCATCAACCGCCGATTGTTTCTCTGCAGCAGGTTTGCGTCCTTCGATATTCCGCACTGCGTCCTTCCCTCCGGTGGTGAAGTTCTTCCTTATATCGGAGGCGGTAGGTGCCGTAAGAGGCAGAGAGATGTAACCCCCCCGTAGACCGACTTTCAAAAGCTCGATTTCTCCACTAACAAGGGGGTGCGGGAAGTGACCGATAATTCTACGGAAAGCCCCGGACGAGATGTTACCCAAACCCCCCACTTTTGGTGTTGGCACAAAAAGCTTGGTTGTGGAGCAGTCGACCTCTGAAAATCGGTCTAGGGGGGGTGCCATCTCTCCGCACTCTTAGGGTCGCCCTACACGTTTCCTGTCAACAGGTAGGTCGCGCTCGTTCCTCTCCGCGTTCCCCCCAAAGGAACCGGTGTGAAAGTAGGTCTTCGTTGCTATTCCTCGGGGCGTGACGTGCTGTTGGATCGTCCCTGCCTGTGGCGGTGTAACCGTCATTCCAGGGGAGGAAGCGAGGTTTTGCCCCGTTTTCCTCCGTTGAATATCGCCACATGTTTACATAGTCTCCTGTATCTCTCTCTCTCTCTCTCTCTCTCCCTCCCAACCTCCCCCTCTGTCTTTCTGTCTGTCCCCCCTATCCCTGGGGCCATTTGACCATACGCGTCGTCAACCGTCACATGGCCGCATCACTTAACGACAACGCCCCCGCTCGCCTTGCTCGCCCCTTCGTACAAACAGCTAGACAACACCTTGTTATAATGTCGGTAGTATTAGGCACAAGAGCGCAGAGAGCTCCCTCCTCGAGTGACGAGTTTCAAGACCTCCCACAAACCTTTGCACACTCTGACTGGCCCCTGTGTCCTTTCTTCGCTTATTCCTCATGCCGGTAGATGCGATGTAGGAGTAGCGTTCTGCTGCTAGGGGACAGTCTAGGAGATCTCAACATGGCCAAGGGCCTTAGCGCGGAGGAGATTCTGACCGTCGGGTTTCTCAACGATAAGGTTGGCCGAATGAATGCCTCGAATGTCGCGCCCGCGAGAGGGGAGTTCGGACCCTCCTGCGTGCTTCCCTTTTTTTTCCCTGTCATCATTAGAGCATTTTTGCTGTTTGTTGATGGTGGTGCTGTGTTTGTTGGGTTTCGGTCTGTTGGTTGGTCCCCAATTTCTTCATGCGTGTCTTTCGCTGATCCTTGTATTTTTTCTTCGGTACCCCGCGCTTGAGATGTGAGATGTGTGTTTCACCTGCTTGTTGTGGTGATTCCGCAAAGGTTGTTGTTGTTGCTGCTGTTGACCCTCCGTGTCGACCTCTCATGATTCGATGAGCAGGCGAGTCCAAGGGCAGGAGGAGGCTACGTCTCCCGTGTTGCTTACGCTTAGGTTGCACCACCTTGCTTGTACTTCATACTTTTTTTTCACTCAATCCTCCTCCTCCGTGGCACATCTCGTTTGTTTTTTCGCCGAACAGATCGAGGAACGGACGGATGCCTACTTGAAGGCGTACGATGTCATCATCCTCGGCGATGGGGGTTTCGACTTTGTTCTCGAGCTTTTGGAAGAAGTGGCCTCCAAATAGATACTTCTAAATAATTATTCAGGTTGCTGGTTTTACTATGGTTGAGTATTTACGGAAGAAATTTGGTACCGCGGGAATTCAGACGGTTCAACTGGAGGAGGTGAATAGGTGCTTTCGGGAGTCTGGCCAGGAGGCCAGCGCTCGGCGATAGCGGTGTTGCTTCCCGTCATGTCGAGGTGTCCAGGTGTCGAGGTGTCGAGGAAGAGGTGGCCTCCGAATAGACTGCTGTTCCCTTCATTGATGTAAGTATCGTTGTGCTGGCCCGTCGTTGAAGAGTAGCCTTCGTTCGCAGGTTTCGGGGAAGTTGGGTTAGGGTTAGGGTTAGTGAATCGGGTCTGCGTCTCCCCCCCCTCCCCGTCTGTTTCCCCATAAAATTTTATCGCGCGAAGAAGGCGGTCCCGAAGGACGCGGCTGATTTTGGTTTATTTGTTGTCTTCTCGTGATTTTGTCCGGGTGATGCGCCCGAGCACGAAGAAAAATTGACGTTCCTTGTATCGACAAGATGACAGAGCTGCCTTTAGGCTGTCCACTGGGTCTGATGACGATGCGGAAAGAAATCTCGATCGTTCGACGGTGATGGATTTGAATCCCGACAACAGAAGTATCTCAAGTCGTGTACAAGTATCTCATCAAGTCATCATGACAAGAAACACCAAGAGAAACCACCTACGAATACATACTCACAACCAGACCCATATCGCGAATGGTAATGCGGGGTGAGGCTTCACGATTTTTGTTTTTCAAGTCGGAAAGCCACCGAGGGACTAGACTATAGGTTGGTTGCGGCGGATTCACCCGCCCCCACTGCTATTGGACAGAATGTATAAATGCCGGTCGCCCCGGTGGTCTAGTTGGTATCCTCGAAACCTTCTAGAGGTCAGGTCAGGGGTTCGAATCCCGGCGTAAGCGAGCTTTTCTTGCTAAGTGAGTTTTTCTCTCGCTTCCGCTCCTGGCCTAGTGGATAGCGCTAGTTCGTGTGTACACAGAGGGAAGAGAGTGCTGAACTCTTCTCGCATTAAAAATCGAAGGCAAAGTACCGCAGGAGGGGAGGGTAGAGAGGGGCTCTTCTGTGTGACCACGGGTTATAGAGTAAACGGCGCTAGTGCTGTGAGCGCTGATTTGAAGTGAAGACAACAAAAAAAAAAAACAGCCGTAGTTTGGTTGATGAGGCGAGCGCAAGTTACTAGTCGGAGGCACTTTCGTTAAGACTGCTGCAACTAAATACTTGTACCCAGGAACTCTGCACCGTGTCACAAGAGGAAAATAGCTCTTAGTGCAAGAGGAGCAGTACAGTACAACATGTGCCGCCGCAGCAAATTGAACATGTTGACCACTGCTGTTGCTGTGTTCATGCCATTATGCCATTGCCCATGACCCCGCGTTTCCGTATTTCGTCCCGCTCTATTGTTGAATCCATCAAACACTCCCCGCCCCCGCAAATTCGAGAGAGCTGTGTACAGCAGTACAGGACACGTACGAACGCAAGGCATGGCATGCATGGTTGCGTGACCTGATCTGTACTTCTGATTGCTCTCGGCTATTACTAAAACATGCTTTTTGCGGGCGAAATGAACAGAGACAGGTGTAGCTTTTCCCAGAGACCAGAACATTGGTTGTCTCATGTCGTCGCCCGGATGATGATGACCAGTATCATCTCGTATCATCTTGCTCCTTCGTGTTGCTCCTGGGCTACTGTACGAACATCGTCGAAAGAGTGCCACACTACATACCAGAGGATGGACCCGAGGAGTGGGAAACCACGTGCACCTTCCAATACAAGTACGCTACCGGCGGATGATGGTGGTGCCCAGGTCAGGGTCTCCTCATCATCATGTTGCGGTGTTGATGCCCGCACACCCTCCGCACTTCGCATCTGTCCCTCTCCCTCTCGTTCATCCAAGCTCCAACCAATGTTGACAAAGGTGGGGAAAGAAGAAACGGAGCAAAAAGGTTGAAGCCCAACAAGCAGATATTGGTTGAGGTCTACACCTCTACACCCCTTGTCCACACCACAAAGGTTGAACGCACCGCGCGTATTGCTTGCTGCTGTACCGACCAGCAGCAGAGATCGGAATCCGCGCGAAAAAAGGCGAACGGTAAATCCTCAACTTATTTTTCCGGGGCGCTCCACAGATCGAAACCAAGATACTTTCGAATCCTCCCCTCCCCCAAGAAACACGCCTCATCTTGGCCAGATGAAGAAAATGTTGACGACGCCATCTCTCCCAAGAGAGAGCGCCCCGCCGTGGACACTACTCCACCGTCACCCAAGCGACCATCGGAAGTGCAAGGAAAACCACCACCACCACCACCACCACCCAGGCAGCTACCGCCGCCGCCGAAGCCCGTTGAGGAAGAGCCGAAGTCACCAGCGCCTAAGGAGAGCAAGAGTTACTGCACGATGGGGGGTTACGAAGGGCAGAACAAGCGCGCGCTCATCTGGTGAGAACGGCGTGTGCTTCGCGCCATATTCATTTTTCCGACGTTTGTCGCCCAGGAAGGGACCATGGCGTGTGCTGCGGCTCTCCCGTGCTGCTGCTGTTGCGACTGTTGCGGCTATGCATGCTTGCGGCAACGTTCTGTGCGATAGCGTTCCTTGCATCAACCCTCTCTCGTCCCTCTCTCGCCGTTTGTCACCCTCTTGCCTCTTTTGCGACAGGGCTGCTCTGTACTTCTTGGCATGGATTCTGCAAAGATTGTGGTGGTGAGTGCTCTGCCTGCTGCGTGCTTTGGTGCCATCCACCACCTGGGTCCTGCTGCAGCCGGGTAGTAGGCCCCGTAACTAGTCCTAGGATACTCTCCTCTTTCTTGGCCGAGGCGAGCGCTGATGCCGGACGCAGATTTTGTTGGTCGCGCATTTTTTTTCCTGTTGGGACAAAAATGGTCAACGGCCAAAAATCTCCCGAATGCTTGCGGCTGAAACCTAGTGCTGCTGCTGCCGCTGCGTCTGCTTGTCTATCTCCTACAGCCACCTGGGCCTGCCCGATCACTGCGACCTCGCGATGCGGCCATTGGACGTGCTGACGGATTTGGTGGTGCTCTTCACCTTCTCCCTCGCACAGGTACGGATGGACGGCCATCTACGTATGTAGTAGAGATCCCATCCCCTCCTGACAGCATGCATGATCTAATATCCATCCGTGGACATTCTGTCTTGGGAGCAACCTTGGGGAACGGCCAGCGATTCGCCCGTTGCCATACATAGCTACTGCTGCTGTTCATTCACCCTCGGCCTTCCGCGTCATGACAAAATAAACCTTAACCTTTTGGCAGACAGCACCCGTGGTCCATCGGAAAAGGGCACAAAAAAATAGGCGAAACAGACCGCAGTTGTTCCCGCCCTGTTGCCGGTCCTGCGACTCATCCATCGTCGAGCGCTTTGTGCTCGCCATAAATGCGCAGCAGCGAGCGGTATCATCATTATCATCAATCAGCAGCTAGAAGCTGCCATTGTGCTATGGTGGCTTGGCACTTGGCAATGCCGCTTTATCCGGTCTTCCTTTCAAGCATTCGTCGAATGGTCATTCGTGATTCCGAATCCGTCTGCTGCTGTAGCTATGTAAGAAAGCGGGATGGATTTCTTTGTCGCGCTCTCTCTCATCCAGAATGTGGGAAGGGTTGAACGGCTGTCCCATGCATGTTGCGAAGCAGAACTGGATGTACTATAAGATGGAGCTCTCATCCGAAAACATGCCCACGCTGGCAGGCGGCTCATGTGTCGTGCATCTCCTCGTGCCCCGGGCGGTAATCTCGTGCGTCAGTAGTGTCAAGCCGAGACAACACGTCACGTACATATCAGCAAATTATGTGCATTCTGTCGTCCTTGAGGGTACATAGCATACTGCTGTACGTATCGCTGCCTGCTCGGTCGCGGTCGACATTTTTTAGTTAAAAAATATACGTAAATCTCACAGAAAGACTACCCGTTCGAGACATAACCCTGCTCCGTCTACACCCTCATCATACCCACTGCTGTTTTCCCATCCTCCTTGCTCGCATTTTATTTTTGTGGTGGTCCTTCTGATGCAGGCATACTGGTGTGAGATCTTGCTGGACGACCGTTTCGAGGAGCTCAAGAAGGCTCCTTGGATTTTCGGCGTCATTCTCATCACGTGAGTGCCTCCAGGCACACCATGATATGTGCACCTTTTGTTGCTGTGTTCAGTCATCTCGAAACGGCATTGTTATCGCACAGCGAATTTTTTACTTTTTGTTTCAACCTCCTGTTGTCGGGTTAGGGTTAGCGTCGAAGAACAGAAGTAGTAAATATTCGTGCACTCTTCGTTCATGTGGGGTGCTTTCGAACTACAGTCTGTATCCTTTCCTCTATTCGGGTTGGGGTCAAGACACACCATACAAGTGCACGCTTCAATCGTGTTGTCGATCTCGAGAGCACGGTTAGTCTTTTTTTATATGAGAGTTTGTTCAGGATTGACGCGGGGTGTACGGGATCGTGGTATGTACCAACACCTACAGTCCCACCGGCCACGCTTCGTACTTACAATTTTTTTTGCAGTAGTCCAGTTTTTAGATCACGGATGTGCCGTCCCAGAAATACTATAATACCCGTCCAGGATATACCACAGCAGTCGAAGCTAAGTGTGTACAGTGTCAACGCGAGGAGGGAATGGGCTGTCACAAGCCAACGGTTGGGCTTGGTGTGTGTGGTTGGTCTGTTGGCCTTCATGAACAAACCGTAGACCAAGGAAGTCGCCGTACACATTTGTGGTGTCTGTTGCGACCCGAAAAAGGTGAGACGGAATACACACAAAAGCACAACAAACCGTGAAAGTCTTCCCTCGACGTAGTGTGCCTTGACACCAAGCGGCGACTCTCTCGTTGTCTCATGCTCCTCTCTGTCACTACTCTGGTTCTTGACCCTGCCACGCCTCGAAACCTCGTGATGCTCACAACAACGAAGGCCAATCATCATCTCGGCCCTTGGGCGTATCGGTGGGCTCGAGCGGTGGGACAAGGACAACGAGGGCAAAGACTTCGAGTTCTCCGCCCTCCGATCGACCATCTTCGTCTTCGGCCTTATCGCCGCCGTGCTCCTTGTTGCGTGGCACTTCGCACGGGCGTGGCTGGTGAGTGAAACATACCGACATTTTTTGTCGTTGGCCCAGTAGAAAACTGCAGGGGGTCTAATGTAAAATGAGAATCGAAAAAAATGCGTCACTGATAGACATCTAGCGTAAAGCGTAAGAATATGCCCAGCTTGCAGCGGCTGTTTCTGCCATTCACTGTAATGATAAAGACTTTCAACTACCCCCTTCGAGTGCTGTGGTACAGCCTTGTCTCAAACTGGTGCAGTTAGTGTTCTGTACTTGCGCAAAGTATAGTTTCTTGTGTCTGTGCGCTCGTGCGTGTGCTGTCGTCACGTCCTTCCCGGCGTAAGTTTTCCGCTTCGTACCACCCAAGATCAACACGAAGAAGCAACGCGTGATTTTTCAATTACCCCGCGTTTTTCCAGCGGTGCTTAATATTTTTCCCGAGATAGGTTGAGGTTCAGCGCGGATGGTTATTGAGAGGGAAACGATAAATTAGGGGGTATTGTCCGATTGAGGTTTATAACAACAAACGAGATGATTGAACACCGTACGCATCGTGGATGTCCGTGGTCCCAAAGCGGTGACGGGTTGTACCCCATCAACAGTCGTACAAACTTGCCCGAGATGTCGATCCGACCGAATCGTAAAGTCTGAGCAAACTGCGGTCCCCCTTGCTTCCTCCCCCGTCCTTCGTTCTGTATTTTATCAAAAGACTCTTCCCGGCATGCAGCTTCTGTCGGGAGGCGTTAAGGTCGAGCCGCCTAAGGAAGACCTCCACGGCATCTACTCCTCCAGCCGCATCGTCATCATCGCGTGGTGCATCCTCTTCACTTCGTTCATCATCTCCGAGGACGACGGCTTCGATTACAGAGGCGCGCTACTCGCATGGGTGCGTACCTTTGGCGGGGGAGCCTTTGTTTGGTCGGATATTTGACCGGTGTTAGTCTTGGCGGTGGCGTACAATGTTGTTGGGTTAGGTTAGATCATGCGTGTGGCTCGGATCGAGCCGGGTATGTTGGTGCGGCCTCGCGGTACCTTGTTCAAGGTGTGTTGCTAGAGAATCTGGTGTTGCGCTGGCCAAAAGGAGGCAGTCTTTTTGTTCTGGTGTATGTTCTATTTCCAATCAAGTACGAGTGCATGGCAGGCGATTTACAAGAGAAGGTTGTCCTAGCAGCAGCAGCAATGGTGATTGATGGACAGTTGAATTGTCTTGAAACTGTTTTCCATTACTGTACAAAAAAAAAGTTGACCCAGACCCCCCCCCACCCTTTTCAAGTTGGCCCCCCCCCCCCCCCCCTTGTACCGGCCCCGCCGTGCGACCCGCAGATGCTGTCCCTGATTGCGGTATTCCCGCACCCCGTGAGCTACATCTGGCTCGGTGTCAACACGGGCATCTTCTTGCAAGGGATCGGTGCCAACCGTCTCCGGTTCCTGGGGTGCAAGGAGTGGTGAAAGCGTGATAATTGTCTTACGACTGTTGTTCTTTTTTGTGCGGGGGAGATCAAGAAGGTGCATCGCGGAGCGGACTTATTCGCCCGCGATGTCCTCTGAGGCTTCGCGACAGCAGTGTCGTATTGTGAAGTTGTCTGGGTGGTTGGAGTGAGCGAGTTCCACCCAGGGTCATGATGATGGTGTGGGGAGGGTTATTCTTAGCTGGCTACACTTTCCGTTCGCCAGAGAGTTTCTGGCCGAGGGATCATGGGGCCCATGCCAGGTTGGCGTTCCACCGATACCCACTCACACGACGAATTGTGTGAACTGGCAGTTTCGTGGTGGGTCGGTAGGGTTTCTGCATTTTGTTTGGGCACTACATACATTGCTGGACTTTTTCCAACTGGTTCGTGGCCCTCATTTTCTTTGGTTTCGGTTCTTTGTTTGGGTGCCCACTCCGAATTTTCACCGATATGGTCGGGCTGATTTCTCGATGATTTTCGTATTTTGGTTTTTATTTTTTTGTCTGTATTCCGACTTGACGGTAAGAGGGCAGGCAGCGTGCGCTTCGTTGGATTTGGGTTGAAGAGGGAGGCGGGGCTTCTGCGTTGTTTGTTCGTGGGGAAGCACCAAGCATCCACGAACGAATCATAGCGTAGGGGCGTTCTTGGCGGGTTTCTAGTACCACATTATCGTGAGTTGGAGTCGATGGTCCACTCCTCCTCACGATGAGAAATGCCTCCCAAAGAATGACAAATATCTCACGCGTTTAGCCACAATCAATCCGAATTTCAGACCGCCTGGAGTATCTCGGAGTTTCTACGTTTATTTTGGCGGGGTGGATTTCGCAAAGAGGATCTGAGAGTACAGCAGTACCACCGTTGGTTGCGGGGACTTGGGGGTGGGGTGAATGGAGTGAAAGTGTTTTGTTTCTGGGAACAACAATTATAATAGTGTTGTGGTGTGTCCCTCCCAGAATGAAAGGAAGTTGAAGCGTGGTAAGATGTTTGACTCCTTGTTGCTTGTATTTATAATTTCGTTCCGGGGAGGGCCAGACAGGTTCTTTCTCTGCTCGATCAAGCTTTTGCCATTTGCAGACGCGCACACGATGACCGACCAGCTAGCTGTAGATGGTACGGCCTCTTTCGACATCTTTCTCCGTTGTGGTCAGCGTAGTCGGGCGTGTGGTACCATAGAACAACGGTTACGCTAGTACGTACGCGGTGGCCACGCAGCATGGCACGGTGCGATGTGAGGGTGAGGATGATCCGGCTCTCCCAATGCGAGCCATCCTCTTGGAAGGGATGGCCATTTTATAGTACGTGCGCGAATTTTACTTGCATCGTTGCGTTCCCTGCCGGTGTCGCCTTCTTTCGTTCTGTTTTTCCGCTCTTTTTTGCGAGAGGGAAATTCTTTCTTATCTGAAGGAGGTTGTAGGGGTCTCATCATGGATGGTCGGCGTTGCGGCTTGCGTGTTTGTCCAAACGCTGTGATGATTTGTCGGCGTGTCTTGGTATTTCTTGGTCCACTCTTCCGCATGTCCTGTAATTGTGGGCATTTATTTTGTTTATCGTTTTTCAGTCCTCCCGCTTTTCAACTACTACTACTACAATACCATGCTCTACCGAAATGACGACCCTCTATGATGGTGTTGTCGTGGTTTCGGGCCTGCTTGGTGTTGTTGTTGAACTGCGCGCATTCTTGTATACTGGGGCTTTTGTTTTACGTATTTCGAATTATTATTGTTGTCTTGCTTTGTTTGAAGGTCTTCTTTCTAGCGCCCGGAATGACGATGGGCGGGTGCCGCGGTGGAGGACGGACGGACGTGTTTGTTTGTAATGCTTTTTGTGTGGTGGTTTTTCACGCGGATTCGGGGGACAGCAGCAGCAGCAGTACTGCCCCCCCCGGATGATTCTCTCTCTCTTTCCTGTGAGGGCCATATGGCCCATCGTGCGTGCGTGTGATTTTCTGTTTTATTTAGAAAAATGTCAGAGCTGACTCTACCCATGCATCAGGGCTGGCTTTACGCATACAATAATATAAATGGTAAATTCACGTGAGTGAGTGAGTGACATGATGTCAAGAAGAGGGAATCGGCTGCGACAGACAGACAGACAGACGTTGAAGAGTGTGATGATGTTGATGGCTCGGTGTGGACTAAGATCTTCACATATTTTTGTTACCCCTTTCCTTCGTTCGAACTTCTTCGTTCTTGCGAGGCAAGCCAAAGCTTTTCAAAGCTTTTTCGAGAGGGAGAGAAGAGGAGGAATAATGACGAATTTAAACCGACCGGCTGGCGTCGAATCCTCATTTCATCTCCTCTCTTTTTGTGCGCGAGTGAGAGACTGGGTAGCTTCCGCAGTTAAGCTTCCGCAGTTGAAAGTTCTGGGATGATATCCCCCCAGAAGACAAGATTGCATGCATGCACTATTCAAAGTAGTACAATTTTTTTTTTGGTAATTTCCGTGTGCGCCTGACTGCCGAAAGCACCGGCACTAAAACACAGGACTGGCCTCAATTTCTGATGCACACGGTATTCGAAAACGCTGACCGACACAACAACAGTATTAATGCCGGAAATCGGCACTCAACAGGGACCTTTAGTACAGCACACGGACGGGTGTTTCCTTAATTCACCGCGCACGCGTCATCACGAGTTCCAGGAGTTAATCCCCAACTTCAATGCTCTTTGGCCCCAACGTTTTTTCCGTTTGGTGCTGAAAGCTGTCGAGGTGTGTCCGGGGTTTGTTGGAAGGAAGCAACAGGGTTGTTTTCCACAACCAGGACGTCTATCTCTCTTCGTCGACGTCAATCAATGTGAGAAGAGAGGGAGAAGAGAGGGAATCGTCCTCGAAGAGACATTGGGGAGTTTCTTGGCACTTTTTCTTCACGACTGAGTGAAGAACTGTGAGTTCTACCTCCTCCGCATTCATTCATTCTCCCCCCCTTTTCTGCGAGTGTTCCTCACTTGGAACAATCAGCAGGCGCCGTTGGAAGTATATCTCTGTTGATTATTTATTGAGCGTGTGACGTAGCGAACGGCCACCGCATGCGGCATGCGGCGGCCGTAACGCACGCCACGCATGACTTGGCCTACCTTTTGTACCATGAATGAACATCAAACACTGAAATCCGTGTGAGGCACATGTCATGTAGAAACGACAATTATTTCAAAGTCGAATACCGAAAGACGATTTTTATCTGTCGGCCGTCTGTCTGTCAGCCGTCAAGAGTACTTAGCAGCCAAGAAGGAAAGCAACCAACTCGCGTAACATGGAAGCAAGTGCAGAGGGGCCGGCCAGCTGTTGTATTTACGAAAATTCTGCCCTCATCGCAAGACGTGAAAAGGACAGGACAAACCTTGCATGCGCATCATCATACGTGCGTGAATAATAATGAGTTCATTCGCCACCACCGCAACCAACGGCCTGAAACACCACGTTCCCACGTTGTTATTGTACGCCGAGACGAGACCGGCACATAACCCACAGCAAGCGGATCATACTTCGCTCGCCCCCCGCACCGCCGCGCATGAAAAAAAAAATCTAATTTTTACGAACAGCGGCAACACGAGGAACACCCCCCCCCTCGTCCCCCCCCCGCCCATCCCGATCGCCGAGCCCTCCGCACACACACATCGGAATGGCGTCAAGGCCGGCCAGTACTATTCCGCCGCGTCATTTCGTTCGTTCGACGAAGATTGATTCTGTCCACAGAAAAT